CCCCAAAACCCCAAAACCCCAAAACCCCACAAATCCAAAATAACGGACTAGGTAAATTATGAAATTAAATAAAGAATAAGCCGTAGCAATTTCAAGTAAGTGGTTAACTAAGTATCAAAAGAATGGATGAGTGTCTGAATCTCAAGCATTATCAATCTCTGCTTCTTGGAGAACGGGGGAACCTCTAATTATGGCATCATGCTATTATCTAACACGTTTAAGAATGTCTCTAAACACTTGCTTCCTTTCTTCTTACTTTTATCTAATAACTTCCCAAGCCTTGTCCTTGAAGTCATCATTGATCATATACTTCTGCCTGTTCTAAGCCATAAGTCTTTGCCAAGTTCTCTCAGTCATGGACACTCTATTCACTCCTGCATCAATTAAAGTAGTGATTGGGATATATGCTACGGCATTTCTTACTACTCCCACTGAGAAGCCAGTGTATCCAGACATAGCACCGTGAACTGCATTTTGAGCCAATTTTGCGCACATAATGGTGTCGACAGCATTTGCTGGGACAGATCTGATAGCATAGGTTGGGTCGATGTACTTCAAAGTTACAGCCATTTAATGCTTAGTTTTGGCATACTTTGGAATTGCATCTCTGAGGAATTTGCCAATATCATCAAAGATAAGGTTATTTGAGTCGTCTCTTTTTTCGACTTAAGTAATTTTCTCATTAGGGTTAATAAGACCTTCCTCAGCTCCTTCAGCAACAACAATCACACAGTGATTCTGCTCCTTCAACTTAGTAATTATCTATTCATAGAATCCTTTAGGTCCCTCTAGTTCAAATGGAAGCTCTGGAATCAAGCACATGTCAACATTTCCATTAGCAAGACTAGCGTTTCTGGCAATAAATCCACTATATCTACCCATGAGTTTGACAAGCCCAATACCATTCTAAGCATTAGTAGCCTCTGTGTAGGCAGCTTCAATCATTCTCTCTGCCACTTCGCAAGCTGTGTTGAATCCGAATGAGTTGTCAATGATAGGGATATCATTGTCAATGGTCTTAGGGATGCCTACGAATGAGATAATCATTCTGCGCTCCATGGCTCTCTTTATCAACTCGTTGATGCCTCTGTGAGTACCATCTCCTCCAATAATATAAACCTAGTTAATGCCTCTCTTCTAGATCTCATCTAATATCTTATCTTTTTAGAATCCTCCTCTGGATGAACCCAGAATAGTTCCTCCTAGTTTGTGAATGTTCTTCACAACTTGAGGTGTCAGCTCTATCCAAGATTTGTCTGGGTTGGTGTAGAAGCCTTTGTAGCCCCACTAGATTCCATAAATCTCATGAGCTTCGTAGTTGAAGTACAAGCTCATCACAATTTCTCTAATGACTACATTAAGGCCTGGACACAGTCCTCCACATGTCACAATCGCTGCTTTGACTGTCTTTGGGTTGAAGAACACATGCTCTCTTGGCCCTCCTTTGGTAAACTTCAAAGATTGAACTACTTCTCTCATTGTTGAATGATCTTTTTAAGCAATGACAAATGAATCATCTTGCATAAAAGCGTCTTTCTATAAGATAGTTATTGAATTTAAAATAAGTATCACATACTGGTAAGAAGCCACCACCACCGAAGATAGATCTCTTGAGATTGTCTCCAATCAAGGGACTGACCATGAATCTCTCAGCTAGACCATAGAGATCTACTAGATGCGGACACCTGTCGACTATAGGAGCTGCTAACTGCAATAGCTATTGTGTCATCCTAAAGAGTTAAACTAAATATTGTGAATGCTTACTCCTATTGCTTTTTGATTAGCTTTCTAAGTTCTAATGCCTCCTCAGATTCAGCTTAAATATCTTGCAAGTGATTAGTGCTAGACATCTATCTATCAAGGTTAATTCCAGTCTTGCCTCTCTGGAGAACTCTCTGCTTTCCTACTTGCTTCTCCTCTACTTTCTCCAATCCAAAGTCCTGCTTATGTTTGTCCAAGGTCGAATCTCTATTTAAGATGGCTGCCAATGCCACACCAACTAGCGCACTAGCTCCTACTAGTAGTAAGTTCTCTGGTTTGCTTAAGCTCATTTTTCTATAGTTTTAAAGATTAAGTGATCACTTAGAGATAGATTCCTCTTTAATTGATATTATAATTGAAAAGCATATTTATTGACAATAAACTGAAATTACCCTCAAACTATAGTTTATCGTAATTAATTCAGATATATTATTAGCTAATCAAATCAGAGTGATCATTATCCATCATCATGGGGTTTTGGGGTTTTGGGGTTTTGGGGTTTTGGGG